GATTGGGGTTTTTGTTAGATGACTGAAATAAGGTTTATGGTTAGCACAAGCTCAAGACATTTTCACTTTTATTCTAGAACATAAAATACATCAGTAAATACTCCAGTCCTGGTTTCTTTAAGCTTTCAAATCTGTTAAAAAAGGCAGATTGCTAACAAGTGTCTAAATGAGACTACAGAGGTTGTCGGGGACATTAAACATGAAAACTGATCTTCTCACCAGTCCACCTTCACAGCCTCGTTGTGTTTATACAAACTACCTCTAACTCTGCCAGAGGAAAGAATTTTGTAGAAGAGATCAGAGTTAAATCAAACTACAAGCTGAAGTTTAGTGGTGGTGACGGTGAAGTCATGTGACCATGGTGTAGCTGGTTTTATGGTCTGACATTAGCTTTTACTTCTGATGATTTTATCATCATAAAATCACATCATGAAGTGGTTTTCATTAGTGAAGATGATCCTGCTGAACTAAACCTGTCAGGATCAGAAACTGTTGTTTATTTTCCCTATAGAAATAGAAAAATCTCATTGACTTCTTGTAAAGGGAACCAGGGTGATGGTAACTTCTGGGTTGGACAACAAAAATATCCCTGCGGCTCTCTATTCCTGTACGACTTCTTCTCCTTCTTCTTCCTCTCCTTGTTTTTTTCCTTCTTTTTAAGCTACAACAGCTGCTTTTCTGACTCAACTTCTGCATAGTGGCCTTCGGTCATGCACAAGAGTGAGCACAAGTGCACAGCCAAAGAACACACAGGAGAGCTGAGGGTAGGTTGACGGACAGGTCATTGCATTAGGGCAAAATTAAATGATTGGACAGACACTTTACAGCCCAGCGACTGTCACAGTTTATTGTCAGAGCATGAATTTAAAGAAATATAACAAAAACAGTTCCCGACAATCACTACCCACCCAAGCTTTAATCAAAACCACCATCTTTCACTAACCTAAACCAAAGAGCTGTTGTTGTCTCAACCACAGATGGGACTGGTCTCTGGTGCTCTTGTTTTAGAGGGGAAACATCAGAAGCTTTAAAATGAGGAGCGTGGAGCATCTTGTGAATTTCTACTTTAGCAGAGGTTTCACTAATAAGGACAGATTTCATCTTTTGGCTCATCAGCATCATCATCATCATCAACATCATCAGGACATTGAAGAGATTGTGAAGAAAACTGAGTCTATTCTATTCAACTCTGTCTTTTCACATGTTTGATTGGTTGATGTACATTTTTGAGTATTAATATAATGACTGTTTTCAGATTTCTTGTTTTTGCCCTAATACTAAAATACGTAAAAATACATGATGTGCAGCTTCTGTTCATTTTGACTACAGTGGGAATCAAACCACCAACGGCAACAGGCGTTCAATAAGCACCAGGTGACCTTTGACCTTTATTAGCTTTTTGCAAGTCCATTGGTTTCTGTTTCCACCATGTGACACTCAGTTCACAGTTCAACCTGAGGACAGGTGTGTGTGTGTGGGCGTGTGTGTGTGTGCGTATGTGCGTGCGTGCATTGTGCGTGTGTGTGTGTGTGTGTGTATACGTGTGTGTGTGTTTTAGAGACAAGGGTGAACAGCAGGTGAGCCAAAGTCTGAAGTTCTCTCCACATGCCTCCTGTGTGTGTGTGTGTGTGTGTGTGTGTGTGTGTGTGTGTGTGTGTGTGTGTGCGCTTGACCATTTGACATGTGGCAGCAGCTACTCATTAACAAGGAAACACTGTATTAATTAACAGCACAGAGAAACTTTAAACCACAAGGAGGGGGAAAAAGTGAGAAGAGAGGGACGAACAGAGGCATGGAGGGAGAAAAAGTGGGAATTTAAGGAGCAGGGAGAAAGTAGGAGAAATGGAAAAATTAACCCCCAAATTAACCCCTAACATATGGGAAGTGTTCTAAGACCTCCTGGGCCGACCTGAACTGACTCAGCTTATTCACTTTTACAGAGAAGTCAAGATAATACATGACGGGGAACGAAAGGAGGAAGATGCAGCTCGGAGAAAAGAAAAATAATAAATGAATGAAACAATAAAGTTGAAGTTGATGATATTCCAGGAGAGAACAGCAAATTTGTTCAGTGGCAGATTAATCCACATTCATAAACATCTGGAGAAGCAGGATGGTGTGTCTGGGACCAAGTCAGAATAAACTACATTGTGTGTTGGCATGGTAATGGTAATAAAGGCACGTGTCACCCAGAGCAAGAGTGAGTCTCACCAATGTGTTTTTAATAGTGTTTGGACAATAATGGAGCTGCAGTGATGAGATCAGCCTCCACGCTGTGTGTATCTGAGAACTACTCGGCTCAGTGAGGATCATCACTGATACTCAGACAGATAGAAATGTTTAAGCCATGTTTAATGCAATCCACCAAATGAGACTCATGCAGACACACAAACAGACACACACAGACACACACACACAGACACAAAAACAGACACACAGACACATACACAGACACATACACACAGACACACAAACAGACACAGACAAGACACATACACAGATACACACAGACACACACACGCAGACACACGTGTGTGTGTCATAAAAAATACCCCAAATTATGAATTTTATCTTTAACAATGAAATTGCAACCACAGATAATTTTCATTAAGTTTTGGTTCAGGTTTGCAGCTGAGTGTAAAGCGTTCGGGTGAGAATCAGCAGCTCCAAGTCTGAGATCATGGTTCTCAGCCGGAAAATGGTGGACTGCTCACTCCAGGTTGCGGGTGAGTTACTGTCCCAAGTGAAGGACTTCAAGTATCTTGGGGTCTTGTTCATGTGTGAGGGTAAGATGGAGCGGGAGATTGACAGACGGATTGATGCAGTGTCAGCAGTAATACTGACGTTGTACCAGACCTTTGTGGTGAAGAGGAAGCTGAGCAGGAAGGTGAAGCTTTTAATTTACCAGTCGATTTTCGTTCCAACCCTCACCTATGGTCACCAGCTCTGGGTAATGACCAAAAGAATGAGATCACAGATACAAGTGGCTGAAATGGGTTTCCTCCTCAGGGTGTCTGGGCTCATCCTTAGAGACAGGGTGAGGAGCTTGGACATCTGGAGGGAGCTCTGAGTAGAGTCGCTGTTCCTTCTGGCATGCGCACATTTCTAATGGTTTTAGTCAATTGGCAACAACTAGAGGTGATGCAGCGAAACTACTAACATTATGAACTGATTCACAAGTCTGTCGGACCACATGTTAAAATTGCCCTACTAAAGAAGTGGACATAAAAACGTGTGCAAAAGGACAATGGCAGCTTTGACCTTATAAGAGGTCATGGTGAATAGCAGAATTACAAGGGGAGAGGTATTTAGAGACCATGCCAATTTTGGCCCATGATGATGACTGGCCTATCAACTGTTTCAGATTTCCTTGAACATCTTTGCGGAACTGTATGCTGAGTTGGGTCTGACTTTGAAGAGGGACACGGCGAGGAAATACGCACTGCCTGTTTGACTGATCCAGGCCACCAGCCACAACAGCAAGGATGCCTGGATCAGTCAACCCACAATTCATTTATCCTAATAAACTGCATAGTTGGGAAGAGGCTACAAACTGGCAGGGTGCATGATGGGTAGCTTGTGTAAGCAATTAATTTATAACTTAAATAAACTTAAATCAACTCCTCTTAAGCCCAAGGGAGTATTTACACCCTGCTGCTTAGGAACTGCAGGGAAGAGGAGGAGCGCTTCCAATAATCAACATCAACATCAAGCCTCACCTCCATTACAATATATATACTACTTTAATTACATGTATAATTATTTATAAAGGAGGAAGAGGAATAACTAAACATAAGACACACTGAGCAGAGAGAGCAGGAAAGAGGGAGGTAGAGAGAGAAGTCATTGGTAACAAGGCTTCATACAAACGACTATGACCAACTGTACATATCAAACAGAGGGAGTTAGACATAAATACCTACCTCAAAACAAATATCTCTTACATTCTGGAGTTGAATTAATAAAGACTAAACTCTTGTCTCCGGCCCTGGCGGTTCCCCTGGTGGAGTGCGTGGCATTAGGGTTCAAATCTGGCCTGTGGACCTTTGCTGCATATCATCCTATCTTTCTCTCTCTCTGTCTCTCGCTCTCTCTCTCTCACTATGACTGTAATAAAGGCAAAAGCCTGAAAAAATAACTTTAAAAAAGAAAGATATTGTGTCTCTTCTAACTTTATTTCTGAGTGATCATTTTACAGTAAATCCAGGTGAAATCAGAGCTCAGTCTTTGTCTTTCATTTGTGTGTTTGTTGACTTTGTCAGATGACGCCAGTTTTAAAATCAGGATTTTGCCAAAGGCGGTCCAGACATATACTAGGTTCTGACCTATTCTTGTTGTCCTGTTAAACTTGAGAATCAGCTCTTTCCAGCTCTTTGCCCGAGTGAGTAATTTACTTCTGTCAATAAACTAACGTGTAAAGTTGGAAAAGACTAGATATTCTCACCTTTTACCCAGTGCATTGCTGCATTCCATTTGTGTAAATTTAAGATAGTGTGGTGGACATAAATACCAAGTTAATACTACTGTTAACTGGAAAAACACATTAGCAGCATCCACCATTCTCCCACTCCATTTATTTTCTGTTCTTAATGTCAGAGGACAGATGCCAAATAAAGACTTGTTCCCAGACTCTCCCTCTGAAAGCAGAAGCTCAGTTCATTAGCATATTAAATTTATGGTGTAAAGAGTGTAGTGTTTGTGCATGTAAACTCAATATCACTTTGATTGGGATGCACACAGAAAATATGACTGGAATCCTTTCAAGCTTCGTCCGTACACTACATTTCAGTATGAAGTCTACACAAGGCTTCGTACATGAGGCCCCTGGTGTCCCGATATAGAAAATAAAAGTATCGTGGCATTTTTTCACATCCACCTTGTTCAATTCTTTCTCACATCACAACATCTCATTTGCTTTTACTCATGTTTTACCATATAATGTGTAAAATGACAGAGAAATAAATATGACACAAAACAGCAACATTAATGTTATTTTCTAATTTATTTATGAAAAAATATATTTCTTGATTCTGACAGAGACATTAGGCACATTAACATAGACATATATACAATTCTCTTTCATAAATACAAAATTATTTACAAAGGGCAAAATTAAATAGGACAACTATCTTCTGGCGGATATATACACATTGCATTGTTTTCTTAAATTAACAAAGATAGTACACAGAAAAAACACACATTTTTGGTATCAAATGGATTAGGTAAAAAAAAGGTGGAATAAAAACACTCTTTGGAGTCCTTCACTGTTGTAAAAGGTTTTTTTTCTTTAAATATAAAAGGAAAACACTCGGAGGTGAGACTGTGTTCAGACTCAACTCTTTCACTGCAGAACAGCAGGTGTTTATGGTTCTCCTGTTTACTTGCTGTGACAGCAGTGGTTGATGAAGGCAGCTAAAGAGAAAAGGCAGCACCTTTTTTCACTTTTTGTTTCATAGAAAAATAAATTTGTAAAACAGAGGGAAAACATAGGCAGTTACAGAAAGACAAACGTAGAAACTGATTTGCAAGATGAATTCAGCTCAGCTGGACTCAGACAGGTTTGACTTTCTTTTAGATTATCTGTTCACAAGGTGAAAATGGAGGAAACAGCTGATTGCTGATAGAGGTAAAAACTCTCCCTGCTTCACCAGAAAACTCCTTCAGACTGGGATAAGGATCTGGGACTGGGGTTTGGGATATGAATGGGGATTAGGATTGGGTCTAGGACTGGAGAAATTCATATGATGGATTAAAACCAGTAGAAAGGGCTGGTTCCAGCGGATTTGATTGGGTTTTCATTTTCAAACCAGGTTTGAAAATGACAGACCCTGACTTGGCTCCAGAGGGAACATTCTGCTTATTGTGAATGTTGGGTTTCAGTAATGTTTTATTATTTAAAAAAATAAGAGGCACTTCAGAGTTTGTAACTTTGACGGTGATTGTAAGGCTGATGTCATTATTCTTCTAATAGGCCACAATGTGATGCTTCACTGCCATAGAAAACATTAAAATAAAAATGGACGGAGTGATGGTGGAAAGTCACTCAGAATCTGTTCAGTTCAGCTTTCAAACAGAAATGATTTGGGGGAAAGTTCTGTCTTTTTGACCATAAACAAAAATGTTCTGTCCTCCATTCCTGTAAGCAGGTCCTTTGACAATTTGATTGACACCTTATTGTGAAATTGTACAGGAAATGGTTGCCACAATGATTAGGAAGCATAGCTAAGGCACCGGTCTTTCCGATTGGTTAACAGGTCCAACTCATCACATCTCTCATTCAGGTTTGATCCAAAGAAAATTCCGATATACAGACAGAAAAATTATATTAAGATTTAATGTATAAAGAAAGATAATAGTGCAAATGACGCCAGACATTCAGTCTTTCCTCTTTTCCCTCCTCCTGCGATGCTCTTTCTTTCTTTTCCAAAACATTGTCATCCAAACACAGTCAGTATCAACGCAGAAAAGAATAAAAAACAAAAGAAAAGTCCTTTCCTTTTGTTTCTTTCCACTGAGCAGCGGTAATAAATATTAAATAAAATAATGTGTGTACAATAGACCCTCTGGGTGAGATTTCCTCGACAGTAAATGCTTCAGGCCTTCAGCATAAAAGTTCCTCCGCTGTCGGTCTGAAAACTGAAGGGTTATACCTGAGGACAAGAAAGAGAAACAGCGGTTAGTCATCAGCGTATGTGATCACATCTTTTTTGGTTAAATTTAAAAGCATGCCATCATTCATAAAACAGGTAGTATCACATTTCAAAATCTGAAGTGGGATGAACGTGAATAAACAAATGTTTATGTTACTGAATTGATAAAATACCTGTTTAGATTTGGCAATTTTGAATTCCTACAACCTGATGCTAAATTTTAACTCAAGAAATTGTCACTGTCACTAACTAACGCTACGTGAGGTTTGATGAAACATCTAAACTGTTATTGTTTTTGTCAATTGTTGATTCTTGAATTGTTGAGACACTACATGTATTAATCCAGTCAAGCCCACAACACCAATACATCTGTGAACATCTGGAGATTAAATCAAGACAGAAATGAGACTGATGGTTAGTTCAATAAAGGTTGTTTTTGTTGTTAATCAGACACAATTTGAAATGCTAAATATATATCTAAACATTACTTTGGGTATGTCAAAAGGTGGGCAAATACATTATTTATCAAGTCACTGTATCCAATCAGATCATGGTAATATTGGCTTGAAAATTAACAAAATGATGGCTACACACTGATTTATTACAGTACAGCTGTTTGCAGTGTGGTCAGCATTAGAGAGCGGCTATCAATAAAACAACTACCCAAAAAGCTAAATGTCTGAGCCGATGGTAGAGCTCATGATTATCTACATTTTTAGATATTCAGTAATGTAATTAACCCTGATCAGCACTTCTAATCAATCATTGATGAATTATCAAGTGAAACCAATTCAGTACATTTTCAAAAACATCAAACATTTATGGTGAATATTTTTGTTGGTGAATGTATTTAAGATTAAAGTTCACATTTCACTGAGACTAATTCTTCAGTCAGTCATATCTTCTGTCCACTTCCAATAAAAACACCGATCAGTTTAAGAAAAAAAATGTGAAAAAGACAAATTCATCATTATCCTTATCATATGATGGGGCTGTGAAGATGTTTTGAACTTAAAATAAACTTTCAAACAGGTTAGTTTTTTTTATTTGTGAACATGTGTAGACTCGTTTTTCTCTTCTTTCCGCTCACTGCACAGACTCAGTCAATAAAAGCCACATAGATACTTTGTTTTGAGTGTGTGTGTATGTTTGTGTGGTTGTGTTGGTAGGCGTGTCCTTACCTCCGTAGCGAACACACACTGCTCCATCTGTTCTTGAATGATGAACACTGGGTGATACAGACTGTCCTTTGCAAAAGTGAGAGGGGGGACGATGATGGACGAGTCACACTTCTTACTGTTAGTGAGTGAGAGTGAGAGAGAGGGGGGTTGGTACGGCAGCAACAACAAACAATTCTGACAGAAATAGTTGATGAAGGTGCGTGAACACTGGACTGATCAGATAACAGACTGTAAACAAACACGCTGTGACCTGCCTTCACAGAACACTGAAGAACAAGTGAGCAGAGAAGGAAAAGCAAAGAGGACACACACACACACACACACACACACACACACACACACACACAAACACNGAAGGTGCGTGAACACTGGACTGATCAGATAACAGACTGTAAACAAACACGCTGTGACCTGCCTTCACAGAACACTGAAGAACAAGTGAGCAGAGAAGGAAAAGCAAAGAGGACACACACACACACACACACACACACACACACACACACACACAAAGTCATCAAACCATTATCAGGTGCTTACAGGTCAAACTTGCTCTTTCCCAGGTGCTGCTCCTCTTTTGCCAGGTTACAGTCCGCCATTTTGTTTTTAAACATGGCCACGTTGTCGCTGCCCTTGTCGACCAGTGCTGCGTCCTTATTGGACACTTTAAGTTGTCCTCCAGGGATGAGGAAGGCCTCCTTCTCTCTCAGACTGCCCTGCGGGGCTCCTGGTAAGCTCCCGTTAATGGATCCACCCCCACCAATCACTGCGTTGCGGTTGTTCACTGCCTCCAGGTCATTCTTCACTGATGTGGAAATGGCCGTTAGCTCCCTGCTTCGGCAGAGCTGACGCAGGATGTGGATGGCGGCGCACACCAGCAGGGTCAGTGTCACCAGGCCGAGGGCGACGGCGGCAATAAGCGCAGGAGGGGAATCGCCATTCGCAGGCGGTTTCGCGGTTGGTGTGGTGGTCTTCACAGGGTACTTGCACCGTGCACCCATGAAGCCTGGCGGGCACTGGCACACTGGGCCGGTGAAATGGGTATAACATGTGCCACCGTTATCACATGGGAACTGGTCACAGGGGCTGGCGCGCACGGAACAGTCCTTACTCATGAAGCCGAGCGTGCACGTGCAGGTAAAGTCGTTGATGCCGTCGATACAGGTGCCAGCGTTGCGGCAGGGGTTGCCGGCGCAGTCATCGATGTTGGTCTCGCAGCGAGATCCGGTGAAGCCGGGCCGACAGCGGCACATGACACGGTGACCGAGGTCCAAACACTGAGCACCTGCAGAGACACAGAGACAGAAAGGTTATAGTCAGTAACACACAACTGGAGGGAGTTTAACGCCTGAACACAATGGCATGGGAGGGAGGACAGATGTTTAAACAAGTAATTATGTAACAAACAAAAGTAGGTTTTATGGTTTGTTTCAAAAGAGGCAAATTCAGACAAAATTATGTGGTCCCTATTTTGTGCATGGCTGCAGTACATGCTTCAAATACTAGACACAACATTTGGACACAAGACAATATCAACTCAACAAATGATAACATAAAAAATGATTTCCACCTATGTAAAGGTAAAAATATACACATTTCTTTTGAAAATGTCAGAGGATTATAAAGCCCTTATGTCTGACTGATCTAGACCAGTGTCTCACAAACAGAGAAGGGGAGACGGTGGAAAGGAAACAAGATGGCTAAGGCATCCATAACAAAACACTGGCTGCAGCATTTTGAAAGCATGCATAAATTAAAGAGAAAAGGTTGTAATATGAAAATAATCCTAAAATCAAAAAACATACCATGTTGGAAACGTGATAAAATATCCTTTGAGATGGTGGTTATCAATGGGGCCAACATTACTGAGCAACAGAAATGTAACAGGAGTATCAGCTGTATATCTACAAAATGTAATCTTATATTTACTGGTAAGATTTTCTGGTAGCAGCATAAAGTGAGAAAAACAGACAACCCAGAGTGGAGCCCTGGGGGACGCCAAAGTGTCTCTGCCAGCCCAAACTGACTTAATACTCTATCAGGGAGTCTTTATAGAGGTACTGTATAATGTAATCAACTGCATCAAAAGCAGCGTTTCAGTCTGAAAGTATCAAAATTATGACTTGAATGTGTAATATTTAATTCAAGACTTGGCGAAGATTTGACTGAGAATTATCCAGGGAGTTGTGATGTTGTTGATGGAATAAGCAAGAAATAATTCACAATAATTCACAAACTTTTTTTAGACACTATGTGCACAGAAAGGAAGGTGGAGAGAGAGGAGAGAGGGGTAGAAAAAAACCTTTGTTTAATAGAACATTTCCGCATAACAGATGCTGCTCATCAGGAGAGAAACGTGTGTGATTAGAAACAGCCTCAGATGTTTTCCACATGTCACATGACCTGCCTGAACAGTGGCATTTACTGAGAAAGACTAAAAAGACTTAAATCTTGCAGAAAGGAAAGGAAAGAGGAGAAGACTCGAGGATACTTGTCCTGCAGTTACTGAACTACTGAAGATATTTAAACTGGATATGTGGGGTTGTTTGAGGGCAACACTGTGACACTCAAACTACAACGTAAACACTGTAAAATCACCTCCATATTTGGTTGTTCAGTGCAGCGTTGCAATGCAAACAGAGCAGACCTACAAACAAGCAGGCATCAGTGATCAGAGCCTCTTTCCTTTCAGGCTCACTGAAAGGCAGGAATGCCTGTAGATTCAAGATAAGCAGACGGCAGTTTCTACACGCTAATGAGGACCTGAGGGAGGACTGCAGGCTGCAGTGGGATCCTCAGAGATGAGTCCACTCAGCAGGGCAACGATAACTGTATGTTAATTGTAATATTCAGTGATACAGCCTTATTTTGCAATAACACTTCTACCACTGGAGCCAGCTGATCCTGATTATGTGTCTGCTCTAGTAAGAAAACTCGACAGTTTGACGTCCGTCTGACGTGAGAATGACCGAAGTGACTGAACAAACCCTGAGAATCTGTCTGCATCCTTCTTTCTCTATGAAAAAGCAGTTATTTTTTCCTGTTAGTCACAATGATTTCCTGATGATCCGTCCTCTCTGATAAACAACATTTCCAACTCAGTGCCGTCGAAAAGTTCCAAAAACATCCACACTCCTAAAAGTTTTAACACCAGTGTTTAATCCAATCTACTACACATCCTGTAATGTTTACTGTTGGATGTTTTCCAAACCATGTTTCTCCTCCTTCCAGGCAGCTTTTGGTTTTTCAGTTCATTTCACAGAGCTGCGAAAATCAACATGCAGAGACTTGAAACTATTTTCAGATAGCTAATCTGTCACAATAAACATCTTCCTTTTTCAATCAAAACTAATTTCATCATCCTCATAGATCTGAAGTCTGACTTGTGCAGGAAACTCAAACATCCTAGACTTGACAACTTGAGATCGTGGCAGCCGTAAGTTTGTTGCATTTGTTTTCTTGCATTACAAAAGAGCTGCTGTTAAGCAGATGCCTTTCAAGATTTGCATGTCCAGTAATATAAACACAACAGATTGACAATTTCCACATTACAGTGGATTACAGTGTTGACTGTGATAGATGATCTCTCTGCAGCAAGTTTCAAGTCTCTGCAAGCTAATAAAAAGAGAGTGAGAGTGATGACTGTACGGAAAAAAAGGATGGTATATTTTGGAAAATGTTCAGCAGTGATGCAAGCACTATGTAATTTGTAGTAAATGAGTTAAACATGCAGAAACACCAGCCCAAGGCTCCTCCACACACACACACACACACACACACACACACACACACACACACACACACACACACACACACACACACACAGGGTAAATGTAAATTTTGCATCAATTATCTTGTAAAACTTTGTTGTGAGGTCCTTCTGGGACACAAAAGGTTCAGCTCTGCATTTCCAGAGAGAAATGAGCCGTGCATCAACCTGGTGCTGACTGCTTTATCAGGCTGAGATCCGCTGCCAGAGCTGCATTCCTGCCCGAGACAGCAGCCCGAATGCAGCCAGGTAGAGACAGAGAGACTGAGGGCTGACCGCTAAAAACATGCCTGTCGACAACGGCAACAATGATGAAGAAAATGTTTGTGCTATCAGATGGAAGGTGATAAGACATGCTCCTACGTGACAATCCAGTTTATCCATTTATCAGCTCGCTGACACACACTGTATGTGTGCGCGCGCGCGCGTGTGTGTGTGTGTGTGTGTGTGTGTGTGGGTGTGTGGGGGGGGTGGGGGGGGGGGGGGGGGGGGGGGGGGGTGTGTGTGTGATTATAAATTTAAGGTTTGAGTTTCCACCACACATAGCTGATGTGAGTCCATCTCTGGTGGACCGGTGGAAACTCAAACTTTACATTTGTAATCACAGCAATCAAATCATAACTGAATTTGATCAATTTGACAAATAATAACAGACAAATAAAGCTTCTGTTTTTAAAATCTGTCTGCAGGCTGAGGATAAAACCTGAAGTTCGGGGTAATGTCTATTATGCTCATTCAGTTGAGACATAAACTCAGAAGTGTCAGCTGAGTTCAGTAACTTCTGCCCTCTCCTCTCCTTCCTGGAAATGTGGCAACACAGAAATATTTGCACACAGTAAAAATAACAAACAACGACCAAATGATTCCAAAGAAACCCTCAGGATATTCACACTTCCTGCTTGACCAGTAAAATTCACCCTCCATCACGTCTGAAGTGCTCACTCCAAGGTTCAAAGCACCCGGAGAGTTTCATTTATAAACCAGATGATGGATGCAGGACGAAGCAACGACCCCTCACTACTTCAGCCTGGAGAAAACTGATCCGAGCTCAGCTGACTCCTACAGCTCCTCAAGGATTTTGTTCAGCCAGTGCCAGTGCATTAAGTCCTGTTTATTATATGTAAGCATGCACACTGTACATGCCTTTCCCATCTCTGAAACTCACTGAACAATGAATGTGTTGCTGTTTGAAGTCACTATTGTTCTTTAAACTGTATTAAACACTGAGATATATGTAAAACCTGCAATGAAAATCCTCTATAAGACTCTGTGGGCAACAACATATTTTCTTAGAAAATGAGTGAGTGAATGTTCATAAACCATTAGTGGCATTTCACTGTTTTATAATATAATGATAACAGATTGGTAGAGAACAGTGTCTCTGATTCCTCACACTGATCCAACACATTAGTCATTGTTATTATCCAACCAATGACCTTTAAACTAAGATAATCATTAATATGTTTTATTTATATGACCACATTATTACTTATTAAATGATCTGGTCATAAAAATTAAACAGGGTAGGTGCTTATTAGTTGTAACAATAAGAAAATCACAGAAAGTGTCCTTAACTTTAAAAAAAAAACAGCTGAATCTGAGTGAGAGAGCGAAACTCTCAAGAAGTCAATTGGAAATGAATCATTTGTAAATTAGGAAGTCTGGGGCTTCTTTAAGTATTTGTGCTTTCATTGTAACTGTTGGATGTTGGTGTGTGATCATCTCATACTTCCTTTTTTCTGCTAATTGGCTATTAATCTTTTTTTGGTTTTGGAGCTTTTCATTTTCATTTCATTCGTTTTACAACTCTTATCCAAACTTTACATGTCTTGAGCAGCAATACTAATGCAAACAAAGTTTCTGTCTTGTGTCTTGTTCTTTTAGGTCTGGGTTCTGTGTTTGTATAAAAACCTTTGCACTTACAGACAAAGCAGTCTGTGTAACTGCTCCTGCAATATTAGGTATGGCGTTCCACAGGGCTCAATTCTTGGGAAACTTATATTTTAACTATTTTAACTTAACTAACACGCCTGTACATATGTGTTTTCCCCAATGACACAAGTTAATTGAATCTGATTGTTAGACTGATATTGATTGATGATAAAATACTGCACATATTGCAAACTTGAAAACCCAGAGATATAAAATTATGTGTGAGTTTGAGCCAATAGTGACAAATATTCACAAAGAAGTTATTGTACACTCTTTAGAGACAGAGATGCAACACATCATTAGTGTTATATCATTTTAGAAGCAGTAAAAAAGTCATACATGTCTATTCAATCCAACAAGTAGTTAAAGTTTTGATAGGAAACAGATTAGTTTTCTGTAATGTGGCAGTTCATCTGGTTGTTCCCTTTCAATCATTTAATCATCATACCTGTTTTTTTCTACCTGTTTCCTGTGCTGTATAAATAAATGATAAACTGATCAATAATCCAGCCTTCAGGATACACAGCCTGTCACAACATCAAGACACAGGAGGGTGTGAGGAAACCAAATATGTTCACTCATGATGGTGCACCATGTGGTATTTTTGACAAACTGTGAAAAATGTGATGCTCCTGAATATTTCGAAACGATCTGTGACATATGGATCCAGTCAGCGAGGGGGAAGATCTACTAACACAAAGACGTGCTTGTTTCTGACACCTTGTCCAGTTTGTACCCCTGCAAACTACAATTCCTTCAAAGGGCTGAACTGAGTGCAGCTCAACACTGACAAGGACGCTTCCTACCTGAGTTTAAACTGCACAACAAGGCTGTCAGTCTAGTTCAACCAAACTCAGAGTGAATTCATGATTAGATAACCCACAGTCTCTTCGGTTTGTCCCAGTAGGACTAATAGTAGCAGGGCAGTCGACCTGCTTGGCAAGTTGTTGTATTTTACCTGCTGAAAAGATAAGTAATGATCTAAGAGGGTCTCTTCATAATCTATAGCTACTTTACAAACTATTTCATAACTCCACAAACACCACAGCTATAACAGAAAAGAAAAAATTGACCAAAAGAAGAGCTTCATGTTTCCATCTGATCAGTCAGATGACCTTCACTTTAATCTCTTGCTGTTACACTTTAACCGACTGTTTGTAACTACAGAGACAAGAACCTCAGCTCAGGCAGGAAACATCTACTAAATCAGATATCAGATTCTGGTGTCATTCCACAGAACATGTGAGCGGAACAACCGTCTATCACACAACTGCAAAGCAAAACAGCCAAGATGCTTAAGATCCGTCAACATCTGGAGCTGTGTCACTGGGATGAAGGAGAAATCGATCGAATGCTAGCTTACTGCAAGTCTGAACTCCTGCAAAGTCACACAATAACGCCAACCTGCTTCATAACTGTTTTTTTTCCTAACTCAGAAATCAGAGGCTCAGACACATGTCATATGCTCCATGTTTTTAGTCTTTTTTTAACCAGTTTGCAGGGTCGGATTCACTCAGCAAGCACAGGACCGGTCACACAAACCAGGTCTAAGGCAAACAGGTACATTTTGGCCTCATTGACAGTGACAGGAAATTATTTCACAGTTGCCCTTTAAGAGTAAACCATACACAAGGCTGGCTGGGACTGATTTCTGCTGCAGTTGGTTAATCTTGCATTGTGTTTTTGTGTTAAGTGATTATCACCATCAAATCCAATCCTCTAAAAACAAACTCAGGTGTGCACCCCACACCAGCACACCTGACTGACTGTTTTCATATTTTGCATAAACCATCAACTGCCTTGTGCTCTCTTCTATAGCTATTCAGGCTTCCTTAAGTGCTCACTTATCTGTACTTTAACAAAATCAACCTTTGTGTTTCACTGTGTAATAAACTCTGAAGCTAACAATGCTGTTAGAGAGTGCTACACAGGTGTTGAATCCACCTACGAGGCTGCAGCAAACAAATAAAAAAGCTTAATCTAACCTCAGAATCTAAGTATGTGAGTGGTGGTGGTAAAATCATTGCAGTGTGACATATAAAAAGTAAATGAAGCAAGTTACAGATGTTCCGTACCATTAGCACAGGGGTTGCTGCTGCACCTGTCGATCCTCTTCTCGCAGTTGGAGCCTGTGTAGCCAGGCGGGCAGCTGCAGCTGTAGCCGCCAGCAACATTCCCCACACAGGTCCCTCCATTAAAACACGGGCCGTCTGCGCATGTCATGGCACTGATCTCACAGTTCTTCCCGTAGAAGCCCTGAGGGCATGCACACGAATAATCATTCACCAGATCCTGAGGGAAAGACAGGAGGAGACAACAGGGCGTCAGTCCAGGCACAGCTCTAATAATGTGTTTCTGTCTTGGTCTAAATGTTAGAAAGCTCTGAGGTTACTGAATGACTAAAACTTAAAGTTGAATCCATTCATCAAAACTTTATTGATCTCAATGAAGATGAGAATGACAGATGACAGCTCCATCAGATCTGGAGCGTTGACTTACTTTGCAGCTGCCGCTGTTCTTGCAGGGGTTGCTGTCGCACTCGCTGGTCTCGAGCTCACAGTTTTTGCCAGTGAACCCGGGCCGGCAGGTGCAGGTGTAGCTGCCCTGGCCGGTGTTGGTGCATGAGGCACCGTTCTGGCACGGCTTGTGGTTGGTGCAGTAGTTCAGGTCTGGAGTGAGGAAGGAAAATAGTAACAGCTCAGGTTAGGTTAATGAAGCAACTCATGGTAGCATCAGCTACAACAGGAAACAAGAGTCACACATGGAGCTGCCTGTGTTTTCATGGTGTCATTAAGATTTTAATTCCTTGTATTGTAAAAACTAAATCAAATTTGTATGGATGAAAATGAGCAAGGTGTTTCGTCTGTTTTAGTGTTAGATTTCACTTCCCTTTCAAAATCTTTTCAAACTTCTAAATGAACATTTGAACAATAGAGCACCATTGGATGGTGCCAAACTGCTTTCTTTCCTTGATATCTGATCCTCCATAGAAAAATGAATCTTGATTTCAAGTGGCCTAAATTTCATGACGTTTCTTTGTCTGAAGCAGCAACTGTATCTCTAATGAAAGGAGGGAGTTTGGTGGTACTTCTGTACAACAGATGAAATGAATCAAACATTTACACATGTCCTGCTTGGATGTCTCATATTTATGTAAAAATGTTTAAACCTCCCTTTGCCTCACAGTGAGTGAAGACAGTGTAGGAAGTCAAGTCAAATGAGATTGTGGGAGATTTGTCCAGATTTAAACTGAACTGAAAGGGATGTGATAGTTGAGCTGAAAACACAAAATGACAAGATTCACATTCAACATCCAAAACTGCTATACAGAGCCAGGAAACAGCACATTCTGCAATGTGTTTTCAAACCTTTGTCTCTAGGCACTCTGATGATATCTGGACATGAAAAGTCACACAGCTCAGAGGGACAAATGGTAATGTTTTGCCAGGTTTGAAACAGTGAGTCAGTTTTCTGGTCTTGGTTCAAGCTCATTCTTAATGTCCTCCTGGCCAAACCATCCACAAACAAAACTAAGACATCTGTTGTTATAACATCAGCACTATGGCACATTTACACCAACTCAAACCTTCTTGTATGATGTATGTAAACTTCATTTATAAAGCGCTTTGTAAAACAAATTTTCTATACAATAACAAAAAAGATTTATGTTTAAAGCAGGAATTATGATCATTCGTGTCAAAGGTCAGATGCCTCCAAATCATCCAAGGATCAAGGGAGAAAGATTCCAAAAGTTAGTTATACGTTTGTAGCAGCATTTTGGACTCAGCGTGGTGAACAGATATTTACAACAATCCAGGTCAAAGGCTGGTTTAACTGAAACTGCTATGAGACCGATTCCATATTTAAACACAGATCTAAACCTGGACCTAAACCTAAAGGTTCTGTTTAATCACAGTGTAGATATACAGGTAAAAATGTCCATCATCAGCAAAACTCTTCAACCAGATGAAGAGGGTACAATGGAAGAGGATCAAGGATAGAGCCCTGTGGCACATCTGGGCAGATGTGTTCATTAAGGGCTGTATTTAGTCTCATATCTGATAAATAAAGCAGTGAAAGGTGACCCAGTTCTCCCCTCCCAGATCTACAGCCTACCGAGGAGTTTTCTGTAACATCAGGTGACAAAAAGCTTTTCAAAAACATCATTATTATTAATAGTATGAAGTCTTTTGTCAGTTATTTAGTCAATGGCTTCACATCTGCTTTTATGCTAAGGAAAGTTTCGACTGGTTCTCAGCTACTTTTAGGAGGCATTTACAGATATTGTAATTTCACCTGTTTCGATTCACCACCAACCCAAACACTCTGCTGGTGTGGATAGGCTGGACATTGGCATTAATATTTAACATTTTGGGTTAAAAAGTTTTACATTACATGCTTCTTTAGTGAAATAGATGCGATCGTGTTGATAATGAGAAATGTTTTTCATTATTTGTTCATGTGCAGATAATAACTGACACAGAACAGTTATAGGAGTTTGAAATATGTGTTTTATATTTACACCATAATAACACTAGTTTTTAAAATTTACATGTATGAGATGTTTTTACCTACGTTTTCAGTCACTTCCTGATGTGCTGTGGTTTAATTTTATCCTGTTTATCTTCCACTTACTGTCCTTCATTTCTATATAACTGTTAATTGATTAATTAATTAATGTCATAACAAACTCACAGTCCGTCCCTACAGGTGAATAGAAAAAATTAGTTAGTCCAAGTTTAAACAGACTTTTTTTGCCCTGTTTTCACATTAAAATCCTAAAACAACAGGGATCCCTATTTACAAATATTATTTGAAAGTGTTTCAAAGACACTGGAAGAAGCCTTCACAATCAACTTAGAGAGATTTGAAACTTGCAATAGTCAATCCACCAAAGTCGATATCATGTCCCCTAAGATTTCTGTTAGAGGCTGAATTATCGCTGTTGAAAGCAGGAAAGGTTCAGGGTTTATCTTATGTGCTGGTGCCAAGCTCCATCTCTCAGACTTGAGCGTCAGCTGTTGAATAATTGTACTCACAAGCAAACAAGACAAACATTAAGCAAACATTTTGACAGTGCTTGTGTAAAGTTGGAGTTTTCTTGGATTAAAAATGTCTGACAAGTTTTGCAGGGCGCATGAATGCACCACAGCACAAGACTTTTCATCTCAGGCCATGAGTTCATCGACATGAACATGCAACAATGACATAATACTGATAACGCCAATGATGATTTGTAAAAATCTCTGAACCTGTTAGTCTTGTTGTAGAGAAGCATTTCTGTCTCTTTTAGTCGCTCTCTTTAGTCATAATTAACATTTTAGTTCGCCATAGTCATCTGCCCCTGTTCCTCTGCTGTAGCCTCAGACTCACATTATCTTGAGTCTGATGTGCTTGTGCAGGTGGGAATATACCACTGACTGAGCTTGAACCCACCTTGGTCACAATACAGGCCGCCCCACCCTTCCTTGCAGGTGCACTGCCAGGGCTGCTCGCAGGTCCCATGGATGCAGCCAGGGTGTCGGGCGCACTCGTCGCAGCGCTCGCCCTGCCAGCCACGCCGGCACTCACACTTCCCGGGAGACTTGCAGAAACCTTTCTCACTGCACCCTGCGGGACAGATGGCTGATGGGAGGAGGAGAGGGAGAACGCACGGAGAGAAGGAGGGAGGTCAAAGAAAGAGAGGGAAAGGGAGAAAGGGGGAGGACGAAGGAGAGTATATTAATATGAGTGCATGTGTGTCTCATGTTCTTCGTTCAAATCGCAAAACAACTCCCCTCCCCTCATAGGGCCTCTCTCTCTCTCTGACACACACACACACACACACCTCCCCTACAAGTGCTTGTTAAGTACTGAATGAAGCAGCTGGCCCACACAACAAAAGCAACACATGCTGTCTCCTTTCACGCAAGGCAGCACACATTAAGCTCCAGCGCGTGTCCCTGTTAAAGCGGGCGGGCCGGGGGCCGACTGGGGGCCGACCAGGGGCCCATTGTTGAGCTCAAAACAAAAGGAGCAGACCTCAGAGCCAACACACATGCACTGGAAACGACAGAAGCGCTAAGATCTTTTTTGTCCTCCACAGTCACCAGGGCCGACGATAGCGTTGACAACTGCTTGACTTAACAATTTCAAGGCCACTGGACAAAAAAATGAAGCGCCAAGGGTCCTATTATTTATCCCCCTCGCCTCCCCCCTCCCTCCAAATCTGAAGAAACGTTGGGATAAAAATGGAGGGAGAGGAGAGCAAGAGGAGGAGGGGTCATTCAACTGTACAGAAACAGTGTTAACTCCTGTTTTACAGCCAGTTCTGGAGCTTTATTGAAGCGCTGCTGAACTCGTTGTGTATCTGATGTGTAAATGATGCAAGAACTTCTTTAAAATTTAACATCAGCTTCAAACAATGGGAAACACTTGGGTCTCGTCCGCAAGCTTTATGCTGTGCCAATATCACAGGCTCCTACAAGGACACTAAACTGACACAAATAAAAAAACCATGAAAGCATCCAAGTCCTTACATGAAGATTATAAGAATAAGTTAAAGCCAAACTATAGCAGATTTTCAGTATAATATGGTCACATTGAGTTCACTATTAGTTGGCAAATACAAAGATGAAACCCTTAATATAACATTACAACAACATAATGATGCTTTATAGTACCTGTGCGCTGTTTTTTAGTCCATTTACTTAAAGAGTTTATTTAAATGCATGAGATTTGTATTTGTTGAACTACAGTGTGTGGTCAAACATAAAAACAGCTCTGATTTGAATAAAGATGCACAATCACTGGTTCAGCCCTTGAAAGCACGATATAGGCCTTACAGTTTGGTTACAGGGAGCAGTTGAAGTCCAGTTCAGACTCACCTTTAGTGCAGTACTCGCCACTCCAGCCCTCCAGGCAGTGGCGGCTCCCCTTGTTGTCGCAGCTGTAGTGGCCGAGGCTGTCGTTGCGGGGTTTGCAGTAGGTGGAGCAGGCCTCGCCGTAGTAGTGCTCGTTGCAAACCACGTGGTAGGAGTAGCGGAGCTCGCTCTGGTTGCCAAAGTGCACGTCTTGGGACCATTCCCCTCCAGCGGTCAGCCTGCGTCGGGTCGCCAGCCGGCTGATGAGGTTGTTCTGGTTCTCTGGATGAACAAGGGAACATCAAGGTTGTTAGATAACTAGACTTGTTCTCTAATTAATCTGGAACACTATAATCTTCCTACAGGGACTGTATGGACAGTTTTCCAGTGACACAATCCTATGTGCTTTCTTTGATCTTAAGCTGTATATCTATAATATGTGTATATGACCTAAAAAGTCTGTAAGTTCAGAGTGACTTGGATATACAGAAGACTGGGACATGGTGTCTGTGTCTATTTAACATGACCACAACTTACTGAAGTATAAAAAAAAACATATAACAGCAGTTACAGCCGCTCTTCACAACTGGACCTCTCTATTAAAGTTGTGTTATAGTCAAACATGCACTCTCCTCTCTACATGTGTGTTTTCAGGGGGAAACAGCACCGCTGTCGCCGCCTGGCGGTGAAGCAGCGACACTGCAGCAGCAGCAGCAGTTTACCTGTAGATTCCAGACCTGAGGGCTCCGCGTTCCAGGCTTCGATGATCAGAGAGAAAGTCCCCTGAAATGAATGAGAGGGGGTCGATTAATGACCACATCCAGTCATGTGCATTTGACTAGTGGGGGGTGGGGATGTTAAGTTCTGCACATGACTCTGAATTTCTTTCTCCATTTAGTCAGTGTAATTTATTTACCCTCCACGCGGTAACAGATCCACAACAAGAGGGAAAAGCTGTGCATGAAATAACTGAATAAGAAGTGAAATAAATGAAAGCTGTCACTGAACTGTATGCTTCATCAGAGTCATGTGAATCACAGATTACAGGAGGAGTGAAGGTGGACTCGTGTGATTTTCGTCACTTACCGGCCACTTGAATTGTAAGGGCACCCTGACGGGCTCGCTCTTGGAAATGGAGTTGGAGTCGGCGCCGAGGATCTCGGTGAGCGCGGTGCCGTATGTGCAAGGCGGCTCTGGGTTGATGACGTCCTGTGAGTGCTTGAGGCACACGCGGAAAAACAGCTGGCAGTCCTGGTAGCGACAGAAGCCGCGGGAGCTGGTGAAGGATTCGATCTTCAGCTCGAAGGCCCCATTGGAGAGTGCCTGAGTGTGTGTGTGTGTGTGTGTGTGTGTGTGTGGGTGTGTCGACTGAGGTGGGGGGGGGGGGGGTGGGGGGGGCGAAAGATAGAGGGGGTCAAATACTGAGCGTGAAATAGAATATCATGTGAAAATAATGTATAGATGCTGGGAGGAAAAAATACACAAAACACGCGCTAGAAGTCACGAACATGCACACCCACGCAGCCCGTACACGGCGGAAAACGTTATACAATGAAAGGGGCGGTATACGTTTCATTTGATTTCTGCAGACATCGATGATAATTGTGACTTCTGACTCCTTGCAGCGCACCATCAACCATTTAGATATCCATACATGTATAAAATCAAAACCTAAGCACTTTTACGTCCCGCAGAAATGAAGTAAACATAAGAGAGAGCTCGGCAACGCTGCGCGTAAAAGCGCACGTCTCCAAACTTCCCCAAGAAAAACCCCAAACCGTTGCGGTTTTAAGGTGAAAAATAAGCAGAATTCTTCTGAGTTTGCTGTCAGTGCTACTCACCGTCTGCGCTGATACAAACAGTAGGAGACACGACAGTAACAAACGCGACATGGCGTGTCGGCACGGAGCGTCCAGGGCAGAAGGCGCCGGAGGTTCCAAGGTAAGTTAATAAGTGCGTAAAATCCAAACGGGTGAAGAAACAATTAAAGTGAAGAAACAAAAATAAAAAAAATAAAAACACCCACAAATGAATAGAAACAGGTTTAAAGTCAAGGAGCAGTCAGTGGTCAGCGGTCTGGATGGAGCAAAAGAAAATAACAGAGGAAATATCCGCTCGGCCACTGAACTTTGGACTGTGGCTGCAGCAGATACACCTCAGCCTTTTAACAGGCAGCAACGGAGGAGGAGGAGGAGGAGGAGTGTGTGGGAGGAGGGGAAGGAGGAGAGGGGGGCGCTGCAAAAAATATTCACCTGAACAACGAGTGCTCCTCCGCCGCTGAAACACGTGCTGTGATTGAACTTGGTTCATTCAAACCGAAACTTTCCCTCAGTTCCTGAAAAAAAATCAAACGACTGAAACTTCTTGTCAAACAAGCCCAGGACCAGGAATCACTACAGCTGAAATTTCACTGCAGACGAGGCGCAGCGGAGTTCCCTTTATACTGCTGACAGCAAGCCAACGTATTGTATTATTGGAGATGGTTGTTTCGGAGCTTTCCGGACAGCCTTTGGTTTCTATTTGTTTTACGTGCACAGACTTGAACCGTGAGTCTAAGATGAGCCAAGTTTCTTTGGTTATAAATACAATGTGAACGCATCAAGTCTTGCAGCTGCTTTAAGACTCTGCTGCTTTTATGTAAAAGTGTGAAACTAATGTGGAGTCAGTGGGTCTAAGTGGTGAGGGGACATTTCTTACAGTGTGGAGTGCCAATGAGTCTGCCATGGGACCATGCATGATGGGAGGAGGTATTGGTGGTGAGGGGGGGCTTTGATTCGCTTTCACCACCGAGGAGGCAATTATAGCAGAGCAATAGAACAAACTGTCAGGCGACAGTCGGCTAAGCGGCCAAACGCCCCCACCCCCCCACCGTTGACTGACCCGAGAGTGTACACACACCAACACTCATTCATTGTACTGATTGTGGTGTAGATTAACCCTGTCGGTCATTGACAGTTTGAATCGAATTATGATTTAAACTATCAATAGACTACATACAGGAATATTATAGGAACAGTAAATCTAGTGGAGGGAAGTGGAAAACTGTTCTGATTTCTTCCACGTGTGGCGTGCTGTCCCGGGGGGGGGGGGGGGGGGGGGGGGGGGGGGGGGGGGGGCTGGAAGCAGGCATACCTTACACACACACACACACACACAATTAACGCCCTTCAAGGAGAGACAGGCAGGAGGACTTCGATTTGGAGAAGTCAGATAAATTCTAGTGTGTTCATCCTGTCTGTGTGTGTGTGTATGTGTGTGTATTTTTAGTGTGTGCGTGTTGTGGGGTCCTAGCTGTATGATAATGACCCCTACTTCAGCTGTGTAGCTGCTCTGATGTAATTAACATGAAGCACATTTCATTCAGAAACATAATGAGAACTTTTATTTTTATATCAAAGTCAATTTTGCTGAAAACAAATTTTACATTTACTGAAATAAAACAGTGAATAAAGCTTTTAACTTCCTGTCTGTAAGTCCTGAGTGAAGTAGAAGTAAAGGGTTCTGGTTGATGATGTGGTTGTTGATGTGTAAACAGATGTTATCCAGGTGAAGCTGCATCTCCATGACAATGTAACCTGCTGAATCACAGCAGAGCATCATGTGCATCATGTGTTTAAAGTCACATCTGAACCTCTCACTGCACCGTTCACTGCACATGTGGTGAAGAAGGACACTATAATAACAAACGATGTTGAGACAGGACAGGTTTTAATAAGATGAGGAAAAGAGGCTGTGACATGGATGCCATGTTACCTGACTGATGATGACACTGAGATCCTATGGTGGCCCTGAGAGCTCAAAGCACTGCAACTTAATAAAACATCATCAATCACCTGGTAGAGCGAGTACCATGGAGGCGTAATCGTAACCGCAGTGGTGCAGGTTTGAGTCCAACCAATGGCCCTTTGCTGCATATCATCTCCTCTCTCTCTCTATCTCTCTCTCGCTCTCTCTATCAGGAGTAAAGCAAAAAATAACTTAAAAGAAAAGTGATGAACCTGCCGGGACACACATCGTTCAATGCCCAATTATGACTTTTTTTTTTTTGGTCTTTTTTATGCCTTTATTTTATAGTACAGAAGAGACACAGGAAATGGGGCGGCAGAGAGAGGGGGAATGACATGCAGCAAAGGCCGTCCGATGCGGGACTCAAGCTGGGGCCAACTGCAGCGAGGACTGTAGCCTCTACACATGGGGCGCCTGCTTAGACCACTACACCACACGACGCCCCCCAATTATGACTTTTGAAGTTAAAAGCATTGAAGTGCATTCCAGCCTATCATTTTTTAGTGTCCCCTGGAAACAATTCTGTTCTGTTGCAAGTCTTTGCAGCTCATGTGTTGTCAAATTAATGAAGACGTTTTCTGAATTTGTTTTGTGTTTTGTGTATTTGCATGTGTTTTCTTAAGATGCAGTGTGTTGAGCTCTCAGGGCCACCGTAAGATCCAGATTTGGGAGTTTGAGAAATCCAATAACAGTATACAGCTGGTTGTAAATACAACCATAACCATAAACACATAAACACACAAACACACAAACACACAAACACACAACATGAATAAAATATCTTGATACTACTGGTTGAGATATAACTTGAGTTTAAATAAATAACTTCTACAGTTTGATTTCACTCAGGGACACTGGACACATGAGAACCCCTTTGGCTTTATCTGGACTGGACAAACTGTGACTGTCACAGAGCAGTTTACCAAACACAAACCTACTTCATCTAAAGATAATTAGAACACACTTGTTTGACTAAATGCAGCTGTGACGTCACTCTGTCAGACTGAGTCATGTGACACATTATTTCAATGTGTGCAGTGTGGACATACACAGGTGAGATGGGCGGACAGGTGAGAGGTGAGAACAGGTGGTGTGTAGGTTGTATGTGGGGGTGGTGGGTGGGGGGGGTGTTGTGTGTGTGTCGGGTGGGATGGTGTGGGTGTGGGGCGTGTGGGGCGGGGCGGGGGCTGCATGCTCACAAACAGTTGCATTTTTTTTTTTTGCCCACCCCGGACCACCTCGCCCTCTATTGTTATTGTAATGAGGGCAGCGCGTGCCTCCGCTGGCCCTGACCCTCATCCAAACCACACCCACGGCACGAGGCACGCTTCATCTGCCCCCGACACACACACATACACGCCCACACACGTCTGGATACAAACACGGTGACAATTGTGTGCGTGTTTGCCCGTTTGTGTGTTTGTTCAAAAGCGTCACATTGACGAAAAATATGATATAAGCCCTCACGCTTACAGGTTCACGTGAGAACAGAGCCAAATTAAAGTAAACTGGAGCAATTTGACAAACATATAAACTGTTGGTTTCCTGTGATTCTGAATGAGACCGCGGTGGTTGTATGAAGTGACCTGCTCATACAGGCAAACGGAAATTTCACCACATCAGCTGACTGAACAGAAACCTCCGGTGGTTTTCTTCATGGTCACTGACCCTGATATTTTTGTCTTCAGCAGAAACAGCTTCAGTGTACCACTTCACAATAAGACTCCTCTTAGGATGTATGAATGGTTTATAACTAGTTTATTCATTATCTTGTTAACACTTTATAAATCATTTATAAGCTGTTATAGATAAGATATTAGATAAAAAAAATAGTGAGCCCCTTTGTACTGTTAAGCCTCTTATCTCATCAGTTACTGAGCTTTGTTTTCTCCATCATCAGCCTTTGTACCTGCTGCTTTATCACATTTGTTCAGTTACTAGCAATGAACCACCTTCATCGTCTTAATGTTCAGAAAGTTTCATTTGGCTGATCAAATTATGGCAGATCACATGGTCATATCAAATGAGCAGATTCAGCCTCTAAGGCCTTGGCAGTATTGTTGACCTTGACATGCTCTCAGCAGCTTTCCTCATTCTAATCACAGGTGTTGATCAGATTGTTATCACAGTGGAGATTAACATGGAGATGCTTTCTTCTGGTTGTTCTCTTCTTTAGGGCTTTAGCATTCCAGGTAGAACACAGGTGGTAACCTTCCTTTACTTGGTGAACTGCTCACCCATGCTTTGTCCCACTGTTCACATCTCTGTGATTCTCCCTCCATCACCTTCATGTTTCATTATCTCATTTTTACAACCATTTATTTATCAGTTACTAACATTTAGAACTGGTAAAAGGAGCCTCATTGTAAAGTGGTACCAGCTTACTATTTACACTTTTTTCACAGGAGCTATATTTGCAGACTTTTACCATAAACTGTAGTACATATATAAAACATGCTGCAGTATAAGGTGTTGTGATATAGAGCTGAACCGTATTGAACAGCTACATTATTTCTGCTCTGTTCAGTGTAATAGTGAAAGTAACATAAGATGACAGTTTAGCTAGCTTGCTAATATTGGCAAACAAGCTCCCGGTCAATTCAGTCCCAACAGTAAAGTAACGTTATCTAAATAAAATCAGCAGCATCCTTTGGAGACATCCTGTAGTTTGGAGGATCAGGATCAGATTCCAGCTCCTCTCTCTAGCATACGGTGAAACTTCCAGTGAAACGGGTGATAGAAAGTTACCATTACGTTTTCAGATCACAACAGAATGATTTTTTTTACCACTTAACAACTGTACAGCTATACATCGAAGTAGCTAATGTTAGCTGACAAAGTACCCACTGTTTGCTTGTGTTTGTCAGCTCAGACTCTGATGTCAAATGACTAAAACTTAATTCAAGTCCAATTCTCTATACATTCACTCTCAATACAGTTCATTTTAGCGAAATAAACCTAAACGCAAAGATAAGCTTAAAGTAGCTTAAAGACTTACATTACAAGTAAAATAACTCGTCTTGTTTAATGGTATTCTACTAGATAATCAATACAACTTGATTGGATATATGATGTATTTTGCCTATGCTAACAAGCAAGGCAAAAAGGCACCTATTCATCACCTATTCATTTGAAGGATGAAGATGGGTGAAAAAAATCAAACTGCATTGTCCAGTCAAACGTGTCTCACTGTCTGTTTTCCCAAAATGCATCACGAAAAATACTGTAAATGACTGTTTTCTTTCCTCCAAGCAATACTGTAAAATGCTGTTTTAATGGTGTTTCACGAGAAAAACTTAGATAAGAGGATTGTACTGTTGAAATTTCCC